GATTATAAGTGTTCAAATATTAGGTTGTGAAAATTCTTATCTCTGGAGTCCAATAGACTTTGAGAATCTTCTTATTCAGGTAAACATTAGTTTTTAGGCAATATAAAATATATCTGGAGTTGATTGTTATAAATACATACAACACATACACATACAAACAAACACACAACCATGTTCTCTTCTTTCAGTCTTGTTCTTTAAAAAATAATGTGCAGTTTTAATAATGGCAAATGCAGCATTAAAGGGGAGTACATACATTTTCAAAAAAAAAGTTTATATTTGAAATATGCTTGGGCTCAACAAGCAAAAGAAAAGAAAAGAAACCTAGAAGGAATAATAAAAGCTTGCAAAAAATGGAATGTACAACTTCAATGCCCAAACACATCCATACTGCATCTTAGTTCTCCTTGAATTAAGATAATTTATTTTGGTGTCTACTTGGTACTCATTCTACTGTGGCATTTACCCGAGTTATTTTGAGAATGTGGACTTCACGTACTTAACAATGACTATGATAGCTAGAGAATTCTAGTTGAAGTCCACACATCTCGATGCTTCCAGCTTGGGAAAAAAGTGATCTAGAAGATATTGTGTCTTACTTATCATTTTCTTAAATCAAAGATATGTGATTCCTTTGAATAAAGCTTGACTGATTCTTGATAAGAACGGTATCCATGAAGTTTTCTTGGCAAACTGTCAAGTATATTTATCCTTACTTTCTTCTGTCTTTTGTTCTTCATTTTCCACTTTCTATCCTGTATTTCAGCTTTGATAGCCCTGTTCAAATATTAAGCCCTGCTTCACTTTCTCAAAATCAGATAAAATTATCTATGTTCTGCCATTTACTTAGTGATATTGTGTGTTTGCTTCAAGTCTGTCTTAAATCTTGACAACTGCCTGGACAAGTCAGTGCAGTTCTCTTGGCAACATTTGCTGAAATGGTCTGCCCTTGCGTTCTTTTTGGGCTGAGAATGAGTGACTGAGCAGAGGTCAACACCAGCTGGCTTTGTGCCTAATGCAGGACTAGAACTTCCAGTTTCCCAGTTTCTAGCCTGGTGCCTTACTCACTACACCAACTACCTGTCTACTTATCAGTACAACTGTGTGTGGGAAAAAAAAACCATAAATTGAGCTTATCCTACAAGTGTTACAATATACATTCTGCACCTATTAAGCTAAAATTCATAGCTATTTCATAAGATCATTTTCTATGCAACAGTGGACATGTTGTTAAGGAGGCAGCAAAATGAATAAGGGTCCACAGCTGATTACACCTAAAGAAGAGCCTGTAAAATAATATTTTTTCTCCTAAGGCTATGATAAAAAAAAACAAGCAGCAATAAAATATCAAAACGCTGCCTCATTAGCTTTTTCAATTTTCAACAAAACCAGACAAGCATCAAATGTTATATTTAATCACACTGTGCTTTAATTCCAGTCTTAGTTTTTATTATTATGATTCAACTTTCATAGTTTCAACTATCTGATCCAACGATAGCTTGCTTAACTGTACTGTTAAAATGTAGAAGGTAAAGAGATGCTTTTCTGTACAAACATTTAGCCTTCTGGAGTTCTGGATTTTTTTATTCCAAATGTAACCTCATCTTGCAAAATCATCAGGAATTCCTGACTTAGCACAACAAAATTTAAAGACAAAAATCACAACCGCAACTAACATGGGCAATTTTACAGCCCTGTGCTGGAATTATTACCTGACATTCTCCTTAGATATGTGGGATATTTTGAAAAGCAAACATCAAAAATGTGGAAGGAAGGAAGGAAGGAAGGAAGGAAGGAAGGAAGGAAGGAAGGAAGGAAGGAAGGAAGGAAGGAAGGAAGGAAGGAAGGAAGGAAGGAATTTCCCAGAAGTATATAAACAAAAACAGAATTTCCTACCCGTAAAAGTGATTGAGACTCATCCTTTGACTTGTTATCAGCAGATCCAGGATATGGCTGAAGTGGTCCAGGTTTTTCTCCACTTCCTTGGGGCATGCCTTGCAGGAATCCCTTGGTCTCAACAGGCAAGCTATATACAGGTCTCGCAAGATGAGCAGCTTCTACATTTGGACTATCCCTCAAAGCCTTTGGCTGCTCTTGGACAACAGACACCGTGGTCAGAAGGCCCAAGCTTGTTTGGGTATAGGATGGGCTTCCTCTCAAAATGTCCACTCCTCTCCAAGTTGTACCACGAAGATCATCACTAGACCCATCAGGCCAACCTTTCTCCTTCGATCCTTCTTTTTCCTCCATCTTTTCCTTCTTCACTACACTCTCCAAGATGGGGTCCCCCACTTTTGGATCCGAACTGATCAGGTTATAAACCTTCAGATCAATTTTGGATTCTTCCTTGAGAGCAGCCACCATCCCATGGCTATCTTCCCCATTGGCTGTGGTGATGTCCATTTCTTGACAGTGCACAGTGTTGAAGTGTTCCAGTAAGGACTGTGTATCAAGCGCTGTAAAGCTGCACTGACGGCATTTATAACAATTATGGACTCTCCTGATAAGAGAGAAAAACAGAGGAGAAAATATTAGAGTAAGTTCATCTATCATGACCAAATGAAGAAAGAGAAATGAATTATTTCCACATCTGGTGGATTGCAAGCCTTTCAGAATTGGGTGAAGATAAAAACTTGTCAAAGTCAACCTTGGGTACGTGAAAACATCATTTGTTCTTTGAAATCTTACTTGTTGTTATTAAGATAATGGTTTCTTGTTGCCTTCTTTCAAGTTCTATCTCTCTATATTTAATTTCCCAATCTAGCACAGGGGCCATTTCCTACTGGTCTCCTTTCCAGTTATTAACAGGCCAGTCCACCTCAAAGGATTATTGTTGTCGGAAAAATAGGAGGAGGAAAGTTTGTTGGATATATTTGCTGCTTTGAGTTACTTGTCAAATAATTTAATTTACACTGTGATATTCACTTTTTATCCATTCAGTATACAGGTAGTCATCATCTTACAAAAGTTCATTTAGTGACCATTCAAAGTTATAACAAAACTGAAAAAAATAACTTATGACCACTTTTCATATTTCCGACCATTGTAGCATCCCCATGGTCACATGATCAAAATTCAGATGCTTGGCAACTGGCTCATATTTATGATGATTGCAATGTCCTAGGGTCACGTCATCCCCTTTTGAAATCTTCTGACAAGCAAAGTCAATGGGGAAGCCAGATTCACTTAACAAACATGTGACTAACTTAACAACTGCAGTGATTCACTTAACAATGTTACACTTATCCTCCGTGAGCTGCATTGGTTGCCTAATGGTCTCCAGGTCCAATTCAAGGTGTTGGTTATTACCTTTAAAGCCCTATATGGCTCAGGGCCAGGCTATTTACGAGACCGCCTACTACCTCATAGTTCCCTTCATCTGGTTAGATCCCACAGGCTGGGCCTCCTTCAGGTCCCGTCGGCCAAGCAGTGCCATTTGGCGAGGCCGCGGAGGAGGGCTTTCTCTGTGATGGCGCCATGTCTTGGAACCAGCTCCCCCCGGAGATTAGGACCGCTCCCACCCTGTTGATTTTCCGTAAGCTGCTTAAGACCTGGCTTTTCCGGCAGGCCTGGGGTTTATAAAATCTGACCCCTGGATGACTGTTCTTGTACTGTTTGTTTTGTTATGTTTTATGGTGTTTTTATTGTTAGTCGCCCAGAGTCCTCCGGGAGTGGGGCGGCTTATAAATTTTAAAAATAAAATAAAATAAACTGTGGCAAGAAAAATTGTAAAATGGGGGAAAACTCACTTAACAGAAATTTTGAGGTCCATTGTGGTTGTAAGATGAGTACCTAAACTTAATGAACTTCTGATCTGCCTTTCATTGTTTTTCTTTCCTGTGCTTTGACTTTCTCCTTCCTTCTTGTTTTATCCTATTTAAATGCAGAAACACATGAATATTTCCACAAAAATATGAGTAATAGTTATGGTTCTATTGACAGAAAATCAATATCCTCAATACATGTATTAAATTATTTAACTCTACACTTATAAGTCAATTAATGTGCTTGATTATAAACTTTTAACAAGTGAATCTCAAAAATGAGTGTTCAAAAATTAGTTTAATATTTTTTAATTTCCTCTGATTAACTATTTCCTATGTTTTTGTTTTACCCTATGCATTTTGATGAAAAAACAACTAAGCTGCATTTATTCTCTTATTCCATAGCAATAGGATGAAATAAGTGTATTAGGAAAAAAGAGGAACTTTTATACACCTTGAATTTCTGAGACACTGAATGTATAGGAATTGTAGTTCTGTTCATCTATAGAATACAACTGTTTGGTGTCCTTATTCAACTAAAGAACACCATTATAGTTCTTTTCATCTAAAGAATAGGTTGCCAAAATCTGTTAAAAGTGTTGAAAACTATTGTAGGAAACTATGTTTTCCCTTATTCCTCCCTGCTGAGAAGAATGAATAAATGGAGAATTCATGAAAATTACATGCAACACTATTAGTAGTAGTCTGGCTTCTCAAATAGGAGATTTCCAGTGTTAATATTAATTATAACATTTAGGAAATTTTGCTTCTTCTACCACATTGCAGACTTTTAATCTGATATTCTTGTTTTAAAGGTAAATGAATGTATTATTTTTTCTTGAATAATAAGAATATGAAAAAGGTCAATGCCAACTTGTAAAAACAGCTAACCCCTGGGTTTTTTTTCCCCTCCTGAGATCTGAACACAAAAGGGGGGATTACATTTATTAGAACAGAACAGAAGAACAAATAAGAAATCTACCTATTTTTCATATAATTTTGTAAAATCTGCTTTTAAAAAATCACATTTCCTTCAAAGATTTTGAATAAAAAGTGAACTTCTGTGAGGAAAGAAAGATTTATTCACTTTGTTAGAAAAAAGCATTGGGATATATCATAAATTTGACAGGTTAAGAGATGTTAATCAGTAGACTAGAATACTATTCTAGTCTACTGATTAACCTTAAAAGTATTCTATTATTGGTCAAGTGTGATTGGACACACAAGGATTTTTTTCTCCTGTACATAAACTCTCAGTGTACAAACAACAAAGTAATATAATCATAATACTGATAACCTATAAGAGAAGGTAGTAAAAAAAAGATGAGAAGGATAATAGTAATACAGCCATACTACATGGATAAATATCCATAGACATAAGATGGTACTATGATAATTAGATGGTCAGGAAAGTGATGGCATGAGGTTAAAAAAACCTATCTCTGTGTCTAGTTTTTTTGGCATTCAATGCCCTATAAAGTGTCCTGAGGCGAGGAGTTGAAACAGTTTATGTCCAGGATATGAGGGGGTCTGTAGATATTTTTTCAGCCCTCTTTCTGACCCGTGTAGTGTACAGGTACTCAAGTAGGAACTATGGGTGGGAGAATACAGCTACTGTAAGTAGACCTTGTCATGACATTCTTCCATCCTCTTAGTTAGAAGAACACTGGCAAACTTTGCTCACTTAACTCCCCTCAGGCTTTATTAGTATTGCAACTCTCATAATTTCTAATCAATATAAGTTATGCCAACTAGAAATTCTAGAAATTGCACTTCTAAGACATGTAGAAGGTTCCAATTTGGGGAAAAGGCTGCCAGAGAATCTTTTATATCTTGTTCTTATATGAGATTCTACTTGAATCTAATTTATTCCTTTTGCCTACCTTATTCCAAACATTCCAATAATTAGTCACTGATCTTGAGAACATTGTCAATCTTCTCATGCTACTTTAGTTAACATTATATTTTTCCTGGAAGGGGAGGTTTTTTCAAGTTTCTTTTCTATTAATTTTTTAATAGAAAATAGTTCCCCCCCCCCCAGGTAACCATATCTCTGTGTGGATGGCAAACTTCGCCAGTTGCTGTACATTCAATTATTAGTGGGACTTTCAAGAAAGTGTTAGTTAGCCTCTGTCTCTAAACATCATACAGTTAATACTAGTGAAGGGAGCTCACACCTATACACTCATAAAATTATTTTTATAAGTACTATGTTCAGTTTTTTATTCATGTAGGACCCTTTATGGAATGAGAGTGATGCCTAGGTTTAGTAACAAATTCTAACAAAAGACAAAGCAGGAACTACAACTTTACTCCAGAATTCCAATATGCTATTTGTGGATGTGATGAGGAAGGTCATAAATTTGACATCTCTCATGTCAAATTGGCATATCTTATCTCCACTCCTGAAAGGCAAATCTGTTGATTTTTCTATGTATAAAACCAGTGGTGGGATTCAGATATGTGAACAACCGGTTCTCTGTGTGGATGCCACTTTCGGAAGTCCATTCTGGGCCTGGGCAACAAAAAATTAGCTACCGGTTCTGCCGAACTGGTGCGAACCGGCTGAATCCCACCACTATATAAAACTGCGCTAAGGAACTAAAAGAGAATTAGACCTAGTCTGCCCACCTAGCAGTTTTAAAGTATGCAAATGAGATTAGATTAATAGGTACCATTTTGGTGGGAAGGTAACAGCATTCCATGTGCCTTTGGGTATAGCCATACTGGCCCCATGACCATGGAAATGCTGGCTCCCTCAGCCAAGAAACGGAGATGAACACCATCCCCTAGAGTTGGACACGAATGAACAGGGAAACCTTTACCTTGTCCCTTTAGCCCTTGACCAGCGGACTGGCACAAAACAGCAGGGCTGTAGGCTAAAACAGGACATAAAAATAATAAAAACAATAATCCTGGGAAAAGATAGAGGTAAACCTTTCCATACTTTTGGCAAGAAAACTCATGCTTATGTCCATATAGTCATCAAAATTAAGGTTGAACTTGGGAATCTTTTATATCTATAAATCTGGTGATTTTATTTCTTAGTCTGTTTTTCTGGTGCCGATAATTCACAAATGAAATCTTTGAAAAAGATGAGCTTTCTAATTCAGAGATGAATATGCAAAGAAAGTTGACACCATTGCATAACTACTATCTCCTTCTCCCCTTCCTACACAGATACACACACCTGCTTTGAATTCCCTCACAAGGATCTTGTTTTTACAGCATCTGGAAATTGTGTGTCTCTGCTGCTCAGCCCATCATAGCAAACGGTCTCATTTTCCCTACTAGATAGATAGGTTGAGTTGGAAATATAGGCTTAAGCTCAGATAAAACACTTGTGAGGCAAGCAAAGGATCCACCATTTGTAGCTACTTTATTGAAGGGATTAAAATACAAAGGAAATATATATGCAAACATATGCATGTACTACTTTTCAGGGCTTTTTTTGTCATAGAATGCCCAGAACAGAGTTCTGGCACCTTTTTTGGATGGAACCTTGTAGGGTAGGCAAGGCGGGTTGTATGATACGTGTGAGTTCCGTGTGAATAAGAAAATGGTAAGCGAAGTAATTACCTTTTTAAAAAAATGTAATTTAAGTATGCTGGAATATAAACACTTCATTACAAAGAAGTGTAATGGCACAGCCAGATACTGGCATTAAGATAGGATGGTTGGGTTGTTTTTAGGGGTGGGGTAGGAGAGAAAATAGGAAAAAAGTGAGAGTTCCCCA